AAGGAGGTGGGGGTCATCTGTTTTCAGAAGTAAAATTAGTGAGAAAATGTCCGCCAAAGATTAGTTATTTCCTTAGCTTAAGAGTCCGTTGTAACTGAATTATTTTTTTTTGGCCTTTAATCAAAGTTTTTCAGAAAAGTCCACACAAAAATGAGTTCTTTAATAGGCATGAAAGGTACTGAGCCAAAAAACAAAAATTTGATAAAAATTCACCAACCTGTGGAAAAAAGCATGTTTCTTCACTTTGATTATTTTGACGAGAGCCTGATCCCACCCCGCTGCCTCACATTTTATACAATTAGCTTATATTGCATATTTCTGGAGCTGCGGTAAATCCCAGTTCTGCAGTTTCACCCGTCGACGAAGTGACAATGTGCTAAAGTTAAAGTGCTTATGTACCGAGCATTCTCGTCCACCACACACCCGACCTTGACCGTAGGGCACCGCCGCTGAACCGCTGCGTCACGTGAGACAATGCGAACTGTTCAAACCACTTAACAGCCCCTACCATCTTTTAACCCCCACATTCTCACTACAGGAAACGGCGATGGCCTCAGACAATGATCTCATATAACATATTATCCAGGCTTAGCCTGGCTGCCTCGTCCCCTCTAACGAGATAGTCATCAGGGCTGAACCTCCACTTTGTTCTCTCCCCCAGTCCCCGGGCCATCCATCATTGACGCTACACGGAGCTGCACTTAGCGGAAGGAGAGGGGAATTCTGGGATGCCACGGGATCACAAGTTCTGATTCTTCTTAATGGTGAGTTTGTTTCTCGATATAATTTGATACTACACAGACTGCGCGCTGCGTACTTGTGCGTTTACTGACCCTCGTACCTTCCATGCTTGTTGTAATATATTTACATATGGACGAAGGTTGTTCGGAAAGTAAGGTGAACGTGGTCACATAATTTTTTAAACGTTTTTTGATGGAAATAAAACTGTCACATATGATGCCAAAATAATAGCTCTAGTTCATGCACTTCCCCAACGGTTTATAAGTATAGATACCGATCTTGCAGAAATCCAGGACACGACTTTTGCAACCAAGTTTTCACTTTCTGGATTGAGATTTCGTTTTCGTAAAAAATTCCGCCGGCTTAGTGTCTTTTGAAGGGTCTAAAGAGATGATAGCCAGAAAGGGGTCAAATAAAGACTGAGGAGAGCATGTGGCCAAACCTCTCAACAATACTTTCGAATCCCCTCATTGGTTTTTGTTTGCGGAGTGTAGGGTGGCGTTGTCATGCTGCAGAGTGACACCTTCGATAAATCGCCCTGGTCTCTTCTGTTGCACGCACGGCTTCTCTCAGTTTATTAAGAGGTTCACAATAACCACCAGCATGAAAAGTTTGCCTTCATGGTAGAACGTTAATAGCAGAACGCCATGTGCCTTCCAGAACATCGTGGACATCAATTTTCGAGCTGATAAACTTCAATCTTTGACAATTTTTCAACTGTAACAGCCATGCTTGTTGTGCTGCCACAAGAAACTTTCGTAACTTTGTGAAGTCGTAAATAATTAAGTTGAAGCATGTAAAATTTATCCTTTTTACACATTACAAATTGATTAGTCTCCGAGTCTCCGAGTTATACACTTTCTCTCTTCACTTTCCGAAAACTCCTTGTATTTGTATAAGTGCATCTGTCTCTTAGATTTGCCTCATGGAAGCAAAATTTAAATGATATACAGACGAATCCAGGATTCCTAGAATTCATTTTCTTTACTTAGCCGGTAGTTTTAATTATAGTCTGCTTTTAACGATTTTGTATTTTGTAAAGGTAAACAGTTCTCTGGGGTATTTTCATATACTGATTGTACGAGTGTTGCTGGGCGGTGGCTGTTCGACATGTCTCAGGGGGACAGTTTGTTGGCTAAGTTGGGAGGGGCACAAGGAGGGGGGGGGGTGTGGGGCTGAGGATGACAAGAGTTTAAAGAGGTCAAATGAAATGCAAAATG